GATAAGATCTTCGATTGCTTGCTTGAGATCTCGGCACTCATCGGTGTGATGCCCATTGTCCCGATGGTAACGACAATGCATTTTACTGTTTCTAGCTAAGGGAGGATTTTCATGGGCTCAGTTTCTCCGAGCAGGTCGACTTCTTCTGACTTGTCAAGAATGGCCAAGACAGATGCATTCAAAGCGGTATATTGATTCCTGTCACGATCGCAACGAGGAACCGGAGCATAAGACTTCTTGGACTCAAACCGCTGTTTCTTTCCTTTTCGCTGATCATCATTAGCCCATCGACGATCAGCCCTCCTATTTTTCCCCTGACCTGGCGTAGTACTCGAATGACCGGGGTTATGACGGCACTCGGAGGTATTTTTTCGTAAGGTTGTAGAAGCGGGTGAGAGAAACATCGTCCTCTGATTGCAGCTCCTTCCACAGATCTGTCTGTGGATGAACTCCCGCGATGATGAGAGTCCGAATAGACTCTTCGGGAGTGTGAGCTACTTTATGGAGCTCTCTGTGGAATCTATCGATGTAAGATTCGAGGGATTCATCCTTTTCTTGCCTTATGTTGCTAAGGTAGCTCAAAGGCATTAAGAACTTCCTGTTCGCTTGGAAGTGTCTCAAGAATGTCGAACTCATCTGATTCCACGAGCTGATCGATCCCGCCGGGAGCGACCTGAACCATCGCTTAGCATGAGATGTAAGAGTCACTGCCAAGCATCGGCATTTTGCCAAATCAGAAACTTGGTGAAATTCCATCAGGTCGTTGAATTCATACAAATAATCCTGCGGATCAGAATTCCTATCGAACGCCCGCATAACAGGCATTCTGAATCTGGATGGGAGAGGGGCGGCTAACACAGCCAGAGAAAAGTGAGACGCCTCTGTGACCTACCCTCGCTCATTTTGCTGAGCCTTTAGCTGATCCAGAGCTCGCTGCAGCTCCTTAATCTGAGGCAGCGGAGCCATCTGGGGATTGCTTTCCCTCATGCGGGTTCGACCCTTTCGATTGCGGTTGAGGAAAATCCGAAGGTCAGATTCCTCCTCGCCTCTGCCGGTAGTTCCGGCCGCTCTTGACACACGCTGGCTAGAGTCGTGCAATGGCGTTGAATGATCCAGGGAACCTTCCCAACCTCCGCGGTGGTACGAACCAACCCGCGGACTGTAGGAACTTCCCGCGCAACGACGATCGGAGTCATCATTTTGGCGATAGTGGGAATCTTCCCGCCTTGCACTTTTATGGGAGTGCTCGCGCGATGTGGCATGGGACAGCTCGGGCTGCAACCTGTCACCGAGTCTTTGCACCACAGGTTTTCTACCCGGGGTGTCGGTGTTCGTTGGTCCCTCGGAGCCTCTAAGCCCGCTGTTCGCCACCTGTTTTCCCTTTCTTTGACACGCTGAAGTGCGCGCGACACGGGCTATCGCCCTTTTTCGCGCTTTCATGCGACCTGCAGGCGTTTTTGGTAGTGGCACCACCTCATTTGGTTCGAGTGGCGCCACCAAATCCAAACGGTCCAACCTTTGGTTGACCGACCGTTTGGAGAGTATTGTTGAACCTCTCCAGGTAGCTCATGACGGCTGGATCAAGCCATGAGCTCGAAGGGATGTCCCCCACGAGATTTTGCGGGATTGGGGGCACTTTAGCAGAAGTGTCCTCTTGTACCTAGGGGATCTCTTCCTCACCATGATTGGTTCACTCAAGTTCAAATCGGCGAGCCATTTGCTGTTGTAGGACCGATTAGTCAGAGATTCTCCTAATGAAGGACGAATACTAAATCAGCCCCTTCTTCTAGCTCCAAACTGTTGATGCGTGATTTTGATACCAACTAAACGCACGTGGGAAATGCTGAGCTGACTTAGATGACACACGTGTGCGGGGGTATTGAGCTGAATAAAAAATGAAGAACGGTATTTAAAGTGGTTCAGATACTTAAATAAGTGAATCCTACGTCCACTGGTATTGTATTAATATATTTGAGATCAGGTCGCGTTCAGCGAGCTGACTTACAAGAGGTTACAAGAGAGATAGAGAGAGAATATATATATGCTATCTTAGAGAGAAATTAGCTAATCCCACAAACGGGAGAGGAACCCTCTATTTATGGTGGGATGAATTGAGGTAATGATTACTAAATCAGGGAGTGGGTCAGATTGCCGTGCAAATCCTTCCTTACGTCCCGTTGCTCACCTGCTCAAGTGATTTACTCGACTCTTGCGGGGATTGGACACGTGGATCGCCTCCAGCCTATCACCAACCTGGCGCACACCTACTGCACTAGCAGGAGCATGCCACTTGCGCCAGTGTGGGACGTGACTGCGTCTGAATGGCTGCTGGACTTACCTAAGCTCTTACCACTTACGCTGACAGGACTCTACGTCAGTCCTACTTTTCCAGGCATAACACTCATAAACCCGAATAAAAAACAATAAGCAAAATATTATTAGTGCTAATATTAAAAAGTGAAGTTAATTGACATGAAAATCACATATTCTTAAACCCTAAAAATATCAAAATTCATCAGGAGGGAAAGGCAGTGGAATGCTACTATTTTCTCCTGGAACAACCTTTCTTAATTTTTGACTTCCAAAACTTTTAATTGACATCATGGTTTTGTTTTGCAAGAATAAACAAGTTTGGAATGCGAAGAAAAGGAAAGAAGATAAAAGAAAGGAAACTAAAAGTGATAAAAGAGAATATATATATATATATATATGAGTTTCCTAGTTCGTTTCTTAATAAAATTTTAGAAACTATTTTGAATTAGGAAAATGAAATTATGTACGATTGCATAATTTCATAGAGTTTTTGAATTTGAACTTGGGATCATCTACCACATTGTAACTTATCTGGCTTTTTAGTCTTGTAGAATATTTAATAGATCTTAAAGATTAGTTGAACACGTACAAGTTAGCTTGAACAACGTCGATTAACCAAAAAAAATGATGTACGATTCAGGAAAAGAAATTAGTAAATTACATATATAATAATATAACAATTTAATAATAAACAAGAAACCGAAACGCTTAAGATGTGTCTTTTAATCATTAAAAAATTATTATTTATTTGATTAACGGTAGGATAAGCTCTGAACAAAATTAATTTAAATAAAAATGTTTTTACTTGTTTTGCCAATTGCCAATTGCGATATAAACATTTTAAATAAAAAAGTTTGTTCAAAAGGATGTTTAGTTTACAATTCAATAATACTTTTTAGAAATTATAATAAAATTGAAGGGAATTGTTATGTTCGAAGTCTTCAATAAAGGTTTTGGCCTAGAGAGGAAGGACTTGGCGTGATTGGGGGTCTGAGAAAATTCCAGATCCGACATATGGTATCAAGTGCGCAGAACCCTACTCTTTTTTAAAGAATAAAAGCCAGCCATGTGGCAATAGAGCAATGGTTTCAGTACATAATTTATCCTACAACTAGCCACACCAAAATACTAATGTAAGTATTTCACTGTTCAGCCATGACAAATCCATGCCACGACAACAAAGCAAGTTGCAAATGAAGCAGAAATGTTATGCATGTCCTTCGCTAAAATATTCCACAATCACCACTGGCTGCTGGAGCTAATACCAGATGGGAATGTTTTGTATTGCAACAAATATTACAGAAAGTTTGTGTTAAAACATAGGTTGAGGTTTTATTGTTATGTCAAATATTGGTCAATCATCTGCACATGCCTACTTAGTTTTTATTATAAGGGTAAAATTATAAATTACCTTTTTTTCTTTAGTCTTTATCATAAGGATAAAAATGTAAAAATACCTTTTTTTAATTACTCAAAATTTGTCAGAGTTAACATCAAAGGTGGTATGCAATGTTCTGAAAACTGGACCGGACCGTCCGGTCGAACCGGTTCGACCAGTAGCCTACGGCATATCCGATCCAATATCCTCTGAAAACCGCTATTTTCAATCAAACCGGATTGAGCTGCGGTTGGACCGCCGGAATAGTGCCGAATAGTGGTCGAATCGCAACTCAATCCCGCCGGATTTCGACATCGTTCGAGGGAGAAAACAGCACCATTAGACTTGACGGCATCTCCACGACAAAACCCAGTCATTTTCAGTGGCCGTCATCCAGCCTTTGTCGCTCGCCGTCCACCTAAAGTTCACACGACCGTTGAACTTCTTTCTTGATTCCGGCGAGTTCCGGCGCCGATGGAACTCCCTAGCACCACTATCAGATTCACCGGCACCTATACATCAAAAGCCCCATGATTCCAAACTTCGATTGGCCGTCGATCGTTGTTGCTGCCACCATCATTAGTCTCTTCGCGCGACAGGGGTGTTTTGGACAGATTTTAAACCTTAAGGGAGTATTATAGGGGTGTTTTTGATGAATTTCAAACATTTAGGGACTAACCGTTATTTTATAGAATACTGTCCAACCGATCGATCCAACCGGTCAAACCAGTCAAACCAGAAATTGAACCCTTGAACGGGTCATAGTCCGGTCCGGTTTTCGGAACATTGTTGGAATGTGTATATATTTTTTAAAATAACATAGGGAATGTTGTGCAATGAAAAAGCCCACAATTTGAAGGGTCGATGTGTGGTGGCCTTTTTCTGAGTGGTTGGGTTGTCCACTGGACAGGAGAAGGCCAAGTTGATTGATTTTGGTACATTAATGGAATCATATGAACCAACAATAAGAATACCTTAGCCCTCCCAAATAAGGGGATTGGATTAGATAAGGGACATGATTTTTAGCACCCACCATTTTCATATTCAACCCTCATCTCGGGCTTTTTTATTTTTTTTTTTTACTTTAGGTAAGGATATAATTGTTATAAAAAAAAATTATTCTTCTTCCTTCATAATTTTTATTCCAAAGCTTTATATTTATATTTATCAAAAAATTAAATAAAATTTATGTTAATAAGAATACATAATTTTACAAATAAATTGACACTCATGGTAATTTTCAACATTATTTAATATTTCTTCTTTACAAATGAATTAATTTTCAGGTTCATATCTTTGTAGACCTAAAGCAATGAACACACCAATATATATATATATATTCATACGTTGAAAACATCTTTAATAAATCCCAAAACCCGGTTGCCAACTTCATCTCCAAACTGCTTGGGCATCATCAAGCTGAGATCCATCTCTATAGCCCTTCTTTTAATCAAACCATCCCTCTTTTCCATTTCACCTCTCTCAATTTCACTCACACTCATTCTTTCCCCAACAAAATATAAATATTTATCCATCCATATCCGCATAACCTCATAAGCAATAGGACTCACGTTCTCTCTGATTATCTCTTCACAACGATCTTTTCCACCATCACCATCCTCACACTTTATGCTCACCAGAATCCCCGTGGGTGACACCACGCCACGAAAATACAGAGATGATGAGAAGTAGGGTTTGATTTCGGGGACTTGGTCGAGTTTTTGCCTGTAAACATCGAGTTGAGTTTCTTCATAAAAGGTTTTGAGGTAATCCGGATTGAGAACGAGGTCCTTTCGAGGAGTTAAATCGACAAAGAAAATCATATATGAAGGGGTGCATTGAACAAGCTCTAGTTGAAAGTGCGGAACATTAATTGATGGTTTGAGGTAAACTTGAAGGTTGGTTACGTTCATGGCGCCTCCTCCGTTTGGTTGCTGCAAGTGTAGCCAACTTGCTAGCATGAAATCAATCTATAAAACCACACAAAGCAGCGAAATTAACATTATAATTTAGGTAGAATTTCAAATATGAATTGAATGATTTATTATTTATTATTTTTTTATGATGATCATTGAGAAATCATCTTTGAGAGACATTTTCAATATTCTGTATATTCAAATTTTATTTTCTTAATTATATCTTACTTTATATATAAATATTGATCTAACAAATATGAATCATTAACAATAACAGGGAATGTCAAAAATTAAGTCAGAAGTCTCAGTATCACATCCCGGAAATAAAATTAATGTTAAAAATTAAGTCACAGTATCTAAACCCGCAAACAAAATGTGATCGCGTAATATGGACCATATTTCTTAGAACTGAAACAATTGGTAGATTTATTTTCAAACAAAATCCATAAAAGACAAACTCTAGAAATAAATCCATTAACATATAATCAGACTGAAAAGGACACAAAACATGTATATGGAGATGAATTTCAGTAATGGGTCTGGTGTCTTGTGAGAAAAATGAGTCATTAAAAACTTGTCAAATTCACAAGTACGATTCATAAAGGAGGATTGATGTATTTGGGACCATTAAATTTATGAAAGAACTATATTTCATTTATTTACAAACAACAATAATGATTTTCTATGATTATTTAACTGAAATGAATCAGAGTGTTTTTACTAATCAATGACATTGTAATTATTCTAAAAAAAATGATTTTAATTATCTAAAAACATTCTAAAGATTATTAAAGGTCCGCTCTACAGGATTCCTTATTATAAATTGACCAATATTAGCTCGTAATTATACAGGGAATGTTTGAAAAGAGTAGTTCAAAAAAGAAATTTTAAATAAATATTTTAGGCCACACTTGAAGTCTTTATTAGAAAGTACTTTTATATATTTTTATAAAAATGTAAAGTTAGGGACAATATTAATTCGGCTTATTGGCTTAATGTAATAATATAGTTTATATATAACTCTTAATAAATAAATAAACAATAATAATAATGAAGTATGCAGAGATAAACTCATTTGAAAGAGAATTCTAATTATGATCACATATAATTTAAACATGAATTAAATAAGCAATTCTATCACAGATATCTGAGTCTCTTTAAACAGATAGATCGATATACCATGTAATTTATATATTATTCTAAAATTAGGTTTTGTTTAATCAATTAATAATAAATTACTCAGTGGTGTGTGTGAGATCGAGAGAGAGAGAAAGAGAGATCAATTAATGAATTACATAGTGTGTGTGTGTGTGAGAGAGAGATCGAGAAGAGGAAGGGAAAGATCAGAGGATTACATGAGAGGATTGAAGACCACGCCTGATGTGAAGAGTGCCTTGAGAAAGGCCTGTCTCATTCTGATAATACTCAACGTCTGGAGGGACGACTGAAGAAGGAAGAAGCTCAGATTGAAGGCGAGTCTCCAGGGCTGAGATGATTCCAGCCATCAATTCTTTATGCGAGGCGGATAGATGTGGAAACTCCATCAGCTTACTGTGTCTTCTCATATGCGGTTGAGGCTCCATTTCATGAGATAGAGATAGAATTGCTCTTAGTCACGAAATAATAGGTTCCTACTGAATATATAGGCTAATTTTTTTGTATTGAATGGTATATACGTAAAATTGCATTGTATTTTAAAATTCTCTATACATAATATTATACGAAATAGGGCTCTTTTCATATTTAGCCAAGTTTGGGTCTTCTTATATTTTGACCTATGAAATTCAGCCAAGTTTGGGTCTTCTTATACTTTGACCTATGAAATTCAGCCTTTACCCTTACCCAGTTACCCATTTGGGTGAAATTCTAGTTTAAGAACCGAGATTCGGGTACCCCAGTGGAACCGACTAAAGAACCAGGACTTAACTAAAATTTCAGCAAAAAATGGGGGTTATGTTATTCTACGTTTAAAATACGAAATTAGGGTTTTAGGAATTGGGGAAAAACGCACAGAGACACAAAAAGAATTAAATAAGAGAAGTACCTTTAGAACAGAAGCATAGCTCTCAGCTTGTTCAATTTCAGAGAAGTGGCGAGTCCCTCGATTCCAATCCCATCCCAAACAAGAAGAATTATTATTATTATTATTATTAGTATCGCTATTGTTACTATTGCTGCAGAGACAACAGAAAGATTTCGGGTTTTTAGAGTTTTTGTTTTTGGAAGGCGAAGCGGAATTCGAAGTCCAACAAGCCAAAACAAAACTCAAACTGTTAGATTTCTTGACTGAGAAATCTAAGCAGTGGAAAGGCCTCAATTGGGGTGCGGAAGTTGTATGAATCATATTCATATTCAAGCCCAAACCATTATTTGCCACTATCATCTTTCTCTTTCTTTCAGTTTTCTGTCGGGTTGTGTTGTTTGGAATATGGATAGAGTGGCTGGATAAGTTCTGCCTTCAATAGATCATCCGGACCCGTTTCAATTATTGGAATCTGGTATAAAAATCTGTTGTTTGGGCGGGTATTCGGACCCGCCCACCCTCACAGTACTCCCCCTTCCCCGTACAACAACAACCACCATCTCCCTTTCCGTCACGTCAAATTCCACACATTAGCTACAATTTCCTTCACCTTTGCGTATAAGAATTCTCTCCTGACTTGAGTTTTATTTGAACTTTTATACCATCTTTAGACACGTGGCACTTATAAAATATGTGGTCGAGATTCTCTTATAAGTTTTTATTTAATACTTTTCCTTCTTATCCTTCCAATCCATGTTACCAAAAATATTAAAACACTGACAACCCTAAATTAAATATTGGCCAAAATAGAGATCTCAACCACGGCAAAAGCAAAAGCCATGGATGTATCTTCAGAAGTCCTTTAACAAATATTTTCAATAATAAATCACAAATTAAACATTGTGAAAACATGAAAAGTTTAAAATTCTTGTCCACCATACATCATCTAGGTTCAACTTTTCATCATCTTCCTCCCGAGTCTATTGTATAAAAAAAAAAAATCACTCAAAACAGTTTTTACCGATCATCATCCTTCTCTCTTTGCATCATCAAAACAAAAACAAATTATTAACAATTAAAATATTGGTACAAAATTAATGAGAAAAGAAAAGGAGATCTTGATTCATGACTCCAATGAATTTCTTTACTATTTTATTGTTGCATGAATATTAGAGGACAAACTTGTTTTCACATTTCTTATCGTATTGGATTTGGCAAGGCCGAAAGGAAAATGTTGCGTTTTAATTATCGTGAAAGAGTAAAAACTAATCAACAAAGCTACAGACACCGAAAAATTTACACCAAAAATGTGTACCGACCTACATGTATCAGGCCTGACTTTTTATCAATTTTTTTTCTAGTGAACGGCCGTCCATCAATTTGGACGCCTTTCACTCACATGGACTCCCGTCCTTTATATGGACGGGGGTCCATATACCAGGGACGACCGTCCCCATTTAAAGGACGCCCGTTCCTGAATAAATACAATAAAAAAATTTGTTAAACATTAGGGCGGCCGTCCCCTTGACCCAAAATGGAAAAAACAAAAAAAAAAAAAACTTTGGGGACGCCCGTCCACCAATTGCAGACAGTCGTCCCTTACTTTTTGACGGGCGTCCGTAAGAAATGGACGCCCGTCCATTATTTTGCTTTTACAAATAAAAAAAGAAACTCTTTGGATAGCCATCCAAAAATTATGGACGACCGTCCTTTCACTGTGGACGGGCGTCCGTAAGTAATGGACGCCCGTCCATTATTTTGCTTTTACAAATCAAAATAAAAACGATGGTGGACGGGTGTCCGTAAGTAATGGACGCCCGTCCAAAAGTAATTCTTTAAAAAAAAAAAATTAAAACACTGGACGGCCGTCCATAAATGGTGGACGGCTGTCCCTTCATTGTGGACGGGCGTCCTCATGGACGGCCGTCCAACTTTTATGGACGCCCGTCCATAAATAATGGACGGGCGTCCATTACTTAAGGACGCCTGTCCTTTCTTTTGCGTTCTTTTTTTGCTTTTAAAAAAAAATAAAACAAAGGACGGCCGTCTATAAATGGTGGACGGCCGTCCCTTTATTGTGGACGGGCATCCATAAGTAATGGACACCCGTCCATTCGTTATGGACGGCCGTCCTTAAGGGTTGGACGGTCGTCCCTTATGTAAAGGACGGTCGTCCCACTACTTAAGGACGCCCGTCCTTTAATGTAATTAAAATTTAAAAACAAAATTAAATGTTTTTTTAATAAAAAAATTTTGTTTACATTAGCTTCTCCAATACGCTTCTCCAACAACAAGCGCCAAAATTCTTTGAGCGAAAGAAAACCAGCACCAAAATTCGTCGTCCCCTTCTACTTCATCGTTGCCATCTCGTTGTCGTCTGTTCTTCGCCTTTGTGTTGCGTCTGCATTCCTCAGCCATTTCTTCCTACAACAAACGTTTTTTCCTCATTTTCCAGCTACCGTGTGAAGAACGAAAGCTATAAACTTTTCATCAAACCATTTTTTATAATAGAAATGGACATTAGAAAGATTTGTCCAGGTTATTAACCGATTTTTATAAAATTTATGCATTTATTTAGTTTTTTACAGTGGAAAGGGAGATTAGAAAGATTTGTCTTTGTTAACCGATTTGTATATAACTTATGCATTTATTTAATTTTGTATTATATTCTCGATTGAATATATGTTACAATAGAAAATAACTGATAGAGAAAATTTGTTGGTGATTGTTATGAATCAGATTTTGTGAACGTGAACACTAGTATTGGATTTGTATTAAATTACAGAATATGGAAGAGTCCAGTTTGCCTCATTTCAATGATGTTGAGGTAAATTGTGCTCAAAACCTTAACTTTTTCGTTAACGTGATTTTAAATTTATTGTATAGTATTGTTTATTTTGATGTGTTGTATTAGTACATTCTAATTTTATGTATTATAAAACTATTAAATCAGGAAAATGAACGTGATGAATTAGAAGATATGGGATGTGCAAAGGAAGAAGTAGAGCCTCATATTTGGAATGGTGTTTGATTCAGTTGATAGTCTGGTGAAGTATTACAAACGGTATGGTAACAAAATGGGATTTGAAGCAATGATACGTACGTCAAAGAAAGGCGAAGATGGAGAGATGAATATGTGACAGTGGCATGTTCTTGTTCTGGAAAGGAGAGTGTAATCCAGAAATACCTTGAAAAAACAACCTGTTGCCAAAACAGATTTAAGAGTCGGATTAGTGCAGCTTTGAATGGTGAATGCAAATGGGAATTAATTAGTTGTACTTAAACATAACCATGATCTACAAGTCCGACAAAAAGAAGATATTTCAAGGTTAACCGAATGATACAACCTTATTGAAAAGGCGACTTGAAGTTAATGATGTGGTTGGGATTAGACCTTGTAAAAAATTTCAATCATGTTCAGTTGAGGCAGGAGGTGTAGAGAATTGACGTTTCTAAAAAAAAGATTGTGGGAACTACATTGAATGAGAAAGTTATGACTTGGAGTTGGAGATGCTTCCGCGTACTTGAGTATTTTAGGAAAATGCAAAAGAGAATTCAAATTTCTGGTACATTTGATGTAGATGAAGAGAGTCGATTACAATGTGTTATGGGTTGATGCTAGATGTAGGGGCTCATATAAAGAATTCGGTGATGTTATCACCTTCGACACAACGTATCTGACGAACAAGTGGACATGCCATTTGCTGCTTTTGTGGGGGTTGATCATCATGACATTCGACGTTGTTAGGTTGTGATTATTCTCATGAGGACACTGAGACATTTGTATGGCTATTTTGTTCTTGGCTTGCTGCATGGATGTCGCTCCTATGGAATAATCACTGATCAAGATAAGGCCATGCAAAATGCATTGGGATGTTTTTTCCTGGTACAAGACATAGTGGTGTTTGTGGCATATAATGAAAAAACTGCCTGAAAGTAGGGGGTATAAGGAATATGAAACTATAAGTTTAGTTGCAAAATGTTGTGTATGATTCCTTTACACGTGAAGTTCGAGAGCGGTGGAACCAATTTGTTGATTTGCACAACCTTCACGAGAATGCATGGTTATGTGGATTGTACAAAGAAATAGTACATGGGTGCCTGCATTTCTTAAAGATACTTTCTGGGCAGGTATGTCTACTCCCCAACGTAGTGAAAGTATGCAGGCTTTTTTTGATGGGTATGTCAATTCCAAAACCACTTTGAAAAATGTGTGGAACATATGATAATGCATGTGAGCTAAAGTGGAAAAAGAAAGGGAGACGATTTTAGATCTTTCAAATCTTGGATACCATGCATAACTAACTACCCCATTGAAACAATTTCAAAGTGCATACACAACTGCAAAGTTTAAAGAGTTTCAAGATGAGATTGCGGGGAAGATTATTGTGAGTTATCTTTTCTGAAAAAATGTGATTCATGCGGGAGTTTCAAGTTGGGGAAGATGTTTGGTTTGGAGATAATAGTCGCCGTGTTCCTATGCATATACTTTGAAGAAAGTTCGTGTGTATTCGTTGTACTTGTTATTTGTTTGAGTTCAGGGGGATTTTATGCAACATGCCATTATGGTGTTGATTCATAAAAGGGTTTCACACGTTCCGAAAAAGTACATTTTACGACGTTGGAGGAAAAATGTGAACAGATGTCATACGAAAATTAGGTCAGTTAATAGTGGAGCACCAACATTGAAGGACAACGTTTTGATAAGTTGTCTAATTTAGCTGACAGTAGCGGATATGGCATCAAACAATGGAAGATTATATATGATGACGGAGTTTATGATTGACATGAGGAAACTTTGGAGCAAAAGGAAAGTGAGGGAGGGCTTGGTACAACATGCCATCTCTTCCAGAACCGGTTTGACTAGTCAAGATGGGGACAGTCCTCCGAAAGAGAGAATACCCTAATCATTAGTCCACAGGCAACTCGTAACAAGGTCGTCCTCCATGTAGAAGAAAGCAATCGAAGATTGAAGAAATTTACATAGGGTTTAAAAGAAAAAAATTACAAAAACAAAGAATTTGTATGACTTATACATTATTGAGTATTTTTTTTGAAACATATTTACTTATTTGGTTTAGAATAATATCGACTTGATTATTAATGTGTTATGATACTTTTTAGGAAAAGGATCATCGGTACAGCGACAAAAGGAACAATTTCTTTCATGTACTTCCGTGGCCGATGCGGAAACTCAAGTTGTGAACGATGTTGTTACTACACAGGTATGTGTTATGTATCTTGTATAATTGTAACTGCCTTAAGTTTCTATTACATATGCTAAATTGTGGTTGTTAAACAATCAAATGTCCATTGGTCCGGTTCCAAATCTCGCAGGACAAAGTAATTTCTATACTGGACGGGATTTTGTAATGAGAACACGTCTCGTTGGGAGATGTTTGATATTTTGCCAGGTTGAAGCATATAGAATTGTATTTGGTAGAAATTTTTCATGTTTTGGTTAATTTCTACCGAATGCGTTGAGTTGTTGCTTATACAGTTGTTTTATTTTTTGCATTTTGTCATTGGTTGTGAGGTAGTGAATTCTTATAATGAAGTTAATGTAACTTTTAGAATGTTTTCAGTATATATTATG